GGGGCGGCGCGGGGTGCGGGGCGCGGGGCCGCGGGCGCGGGTCTGCCGCAGAGGTTCCTCTTCTGCAGTTTCCTCTTTCGCTCTCGCCGCCGCCGCCGCCGCGGTCCCTCCCTGGCTCTTATTTCTGCCGGTCTCGGGCACAGACTTCCTGCAGCCGCAGCTCACCGGTTCCTTTGCCTGCCAGCCTCACTTTCTGCTACTTTCTTGCCGCCTCCAGCGCCCTCCCCGCGCCCGCCTCCTCCCGCGGGCTCCCCGCCCTCCCCGCGCGCCCCGGCCGCCTCCCCGCCTCCCGCCTCCGGCGCGGCCGCCTTCGGGGATGTCCTGCGCCCCTCCCCGGAGCTCGCGCGGGCACTGGAGCAGCCCTGGCCACCCCGCCACGTTTTGTGGAGGCTGCGCACCGTGGAGCCCGGCCGGGGAAGGTGCGGGGGACCCGGGCAGGTGCCGAGCGCCAGGCGCTGGGGTACCCTGGCCCTTGGGGAGCTTAATTACGAGGTGTAAGCGGGGGGCACCCGGGCTTTCCCTCCTCCGGCGGGAGGGAGCGCCTCTGCCTGGCGCTCTGAATCGCTGCAAGGGGCGGGGGCGCGCGGCTGCCGGATGCGGGGCTCATGGGGCGGGGCGCCTTCACGGTCTCGGGGACCCAGGAACGGTTGTTATGGCGACCGGCAGCCGCTCAGTGCGGGTCAGTGGGCGTGGACTCAGGTTTTAGACCCTGGCCTGCGCGAGCGCGACCAGAGACCCGGAGCCCCTTTCTGACTCAGCTGCTGGAGCTAATTCGCATTGCACCAAAATGGGCCTCACGTCAGTTTCGGGACCGCCGAGGAAACAGCGAGGGACCGGGCACGCGCAGGACGCACCAGCCGCTACCTCGTGTGCCTCGGGGAACTGAACTCGGGGGTTCCTGGGCGCCCGGGCGCGGTGGATGCAGGACGGCGCTGACTGCCCCGCTCCGCCCCACGCGGGGCCACTCCAAGCTCCATCTCTCACCTTTCCACACTCTGCAGGCCTGGCTGATCCAGAGACTGCAAAAAGTCGGTGTCAGCCCCACACACCCTTTGAGGAGAGCTGCCTCACTTTACCTCCCCCGCAGCTGTCTCTGTGGCTTATCCGGGGCAGGGCTTGTAGCTCAAAACACCTAGAGGTTGGAGAAAACCAAAAGAATTCTCCGACCTCCCATCCCCAGGGAAAACCGTGACCTCCTGGCCCACCTGTCAGAGGACACCCCACGTGTTGGTCCCCTGGTCCCAAATGGTAGTGACGATTCCTGATTGGAAAATTTTAGTTTTTCTTTGTCTCAAGACTTCCTTTCCCTTAGGGCTCGTATATGCAAGTGAGTAAACAGCCTTGTCTCTTGATTGGGGACACCTGTCCCATTTTCCCTGGACTGTTCTAGTTTCATTGTAAAAGGAAAAAAGAATTCTGCTTTCAGAAAAGGAAAAGTCATTCAGCACCTCTGCCTGGTTCCCACTGGTTGGATGCAGGCTGACTGACCTCCCCAAGGCTCCTGATTGACCCTCAAGGACAAAGGACAGCCAGCCTGACCTCCCTATCCCTGCCACTTCCATGCTGCTTCCTATCTTTTGGAGACTGTCAGCCACTAGCTCTGTAATCTGAGAAAATCAAATGGTGGGGTAGAGCCATGAACCACCACGTTGGGGCTATCACACAACCCAAGAATCTAGAGTTAGATGACTGAACATTATAGAGGGTTCACACACACCCAGATGATATTGCTTACAACACACATAGGCTATGGCCTTAGAGACAGATGGTGGGTACATGGCCCATGGCAGGCCCATAAGGAAATAATGAACAAACGTTAAGCACAAGAGAAAATCATGCAACCAAGAGATGAGATAAACATGAAATAATATGCACGTACTGTTTTACAGTAATTTTTATAAGTAGGAGTACACCCTAAAATAATGATTAAAAGTTCATCATAGTAAATATATGTCACCTAGCATCATTATCAAGTGTTACGTGCTATGCATAATTGTATGTGCAATACCTTTAAAAGAGGCAGCACTGTAGGTGTGTTTACACCATCATCAACCCAGACACATGAGTAATGGGTTATGCTATGAGGTTTTGACAATCAGAAGGTCAGTAGGCCATAGGTATTTTCAATTCCAGCGTCATCTTATGGACCCCTTCAGACTATTATTATGCCTACATGACTGTACTTGCTGTTAAAAATACAAATTAAACCCACATCTGTTGCCAAGGCAGACAGCGGGGACTTACTTGGGAACCTGGCTCAGAGGCAGGCCTGTCACCACATCCAAGGCCCACAGTATCCACTCCCTGTCAGTGAACACCTCACAGAAGTAATATCTCATCAAAGGCTGTGCAGTGGGCTGGTGAGATGGCTCAGTGGTCTAAAGCACCTACTTAGAACAAGCTAAGCTAGGCTAAGCAAAAGCACAGCGACCGCGGTTCAATCCCCAGCACCACATGCCAGCCAGCCCCGCCCCCTGGTGGGCTGAGCTGGCCACACACACACACACACACA